TCTGCTACAGAACTGTTGACCCTACTTTTTCCCCTCTTACATGCTGATAAACTTAATTTATCTTGTGGGGATGATGGTCAGCCAGGCTCTCAAATGTAGAGCCAGTGTGGCAAAACATTGATAATTCACTGTTGTCCCTCTCAGCTCCTTTCCAGACCATCCCCTCTACCCAAAACCATTTATTTTTGTGGTTTTCTGATACTCAGTGACAGTAGTAGGGAAAGCTTGCTGCACTGATACTATGAAATGCTCTTAATTGGTGACATAACTGTTCACTTTACAAAAAGAGACCTTTTCAGAAACAAAAGTAAAGAGAAGATTATGTTTTCTCAGTGCTTACGGCCACCCAGTCACATTTATAATTAGCCTGGTAAATTGATTAGAATGTATCACCTAAGCATCAAGTGGAAGTGTTGAACTCATTAAAGAGCTTACATTGTAATTGCAAAAAGTAAAAAAAAAAAAAAAAAAAAAAAAAAACCCCCCCCCCCCACAAAATCAAGCAAAAAACCTAACCCAAACATAAGCAAAAAACCATGAGATGAGCTCACATGATGAATGATTACAAACTGGACCAAATAATGATAATTATTCTACACAGACTTGTTACATACTGAGATAAAAATCACTGTTATATGTAAAAACAGTTTAGCCATGATTTCTGGGTGGGAAAAAGAAGAAAATAAAAGTCTTTCTTGACAGGAAACAGCTTGTGGCTAATGAGATATGAGCCTTGGTCCTCCACAAAGCATTGCAGGAACAAACTGTGGCAGAATATTCTTAACCATAGCTCCATCTAGTCCAAAAAGTTGAAATAATGTTGCTAACAAAGCTTATAAATGAGTAGAGGGGCTGGGATACTACACCATGGCAATGATGTCTTGATGCAGCCGCCTTTCTTCAGTAACATCATTGCTTGTTGTAATTTACCTTTGCATAACCTTGTAATGTTTTCCTTTTCAGATGCAAGGGAGTTAATAATGTGGCCCATCAGTATTATTTTTTCCTTTTTTAACTCTTGATTAGTGTACTCCATACAGTCAGTAAAATAATTTGTCCTCCCTCTAGATTTGATTTTGGAACAGAATGTAATTTTATGTATTGTAGTGGATACATATATATACACACATGTGTGTGTGTGTGTGTTTGACTGTGTTTGACTGACTTGACCTGCTGGTGGAGGTTAGAAATGTCATTTATTCCCAGCCTTTTGTTGGGAGGAAAGCAAGTAGGCTGAACGGGTAGCCCTGTCTGTAGGATGGTCAGCATCTGAGTCATAATCATTATCTCAATTATACCTGTCAATCACCTCAGTTAATAGGAAAGTAGGAAATAAATTGTACTGAACTTACCTAAATGTGTTCAGTGCAGTGAAATATAGGGATGTATAAACAGGAGCTACAGGAGGAGGACTGGAAGGATGTCTGAGGAAAAATGCCAGCCCCATGGTGAGCCTTCAGTCACACCTGGGTCTGACCCTGGTCCTTTTAAGGGACTCTTGTAAGTGTGCAAACAAGAATACCAAAAACTGGCAGAGAAGTGGCATCACCTTTGTATTTCTGCCTTCTATGACTGCAGGGCTTCCAGGTCTGGGCTGCACACTTCAGAAAGGACACATGGCAGAGGGCACAGAGAAGAGCCACAGACTAATTAAAGGATTAGAAAAATGTGATTTCTGCAGATAGACTTAGGAGCTCAATTTATTTAGATTATCAAAAAGAAGGTTAACGGGTGATATGATCACAGTCTCTAAGTGCCTACAAGAGAAATTTGATAAGAGAGGGCTCTTCAGAGCAGGGGAAAAGGTACAAGAAGCAGTGGAAGCTGGGTGCTACAGTGAGACAAATTCAGAGCAGGAGTAAATTTTGTGGTTTTGTTTGAACAATGATGACTGTTGCTCTCTGAAATAAGTCACTGAAGAGGCCACTAAACTTCCCATTACTGGACTTGTTAAGTGAAGGTGGAATGCTTTTGTTAGAGGACATTAACAGAAATGAGGCCTCTCCCACAAAATATTGTCAGACCCTCAAGAACTAGAAGGAATCTTTAGTGGCATAAACCATTTATTTGGCACTTTTACTGCAGTGTAAATGATTCAGGTGCTGATGCTTTCTTTAGTGTTCACCTGTTTCATATAGGGCTTTACAACCTTCTCCCATTCTTCCAGCCCTACTTCAGTATCCCAAGTTAGATGCAAACAGTAAAATAAATCCCATAAGCTTTTCTTTGTCTTAGTTTTCCCATCACTTGCTAATAATTTTTGTCTTCATTCAGAGGTGTGCAGTACCCATTCATTTGGACTTGCTTTACATAATTTTCTTTGTCCTGCAAAGGCTCCCTTCTCTCTACTCAGGCTGCTTTCCATATTAAATCTTCTCTCATTTTCCCTGTACCTTTTCTCCAGTCCAAACTTCCCCTGAAGCTCTGTGCGTCTTCCCCAGAACCTTAAAGATTCTCTGTTGGCAAGAGATGAGTGTTTTTGTCTTATTTTTATATTCTAAATTAATTCTTGTTTCCAAATCATCAGCAACCACTAGGGTGGCCAGAGGAAAGAAAATTCTTCTGACCTATTCAGGTTATGGCATTTATAATTTCCATTTATATGGTTGATCAGAATAGTTTAGTTCCTTACCAGAGATGAGTCTGTAACTTGGCAATCCTTAATAAATGATGGAGTGCATGTACACTGACACCTTCATGATAAGAGCTGTAATATCAGACACAGAATACAGGGTAATTATGGGGAGATCTCCTAGACTGTGATAATCAGGTCCTAAATCATTACAGCAGGTTCTTTATTAAACTACCTCCCATTCCAGTGCTTTAATGGAAGTGCCAGATTTCACTGTGCCAATCCCTGGCACTAGGTTCTGGCTAATGCTTCTTGTAGGCAAAAAGTTTTCCAGCCCACATAGGCTCCCATTCACAGATCATACTTTAGAAGGTTATTTCTTTGGTAAGCGCCTTGTAATTTTGTGGAAGTAATAACAGGCTGTGTGCATTTTTCTGTATTTAAAAAATTCTAATTTAAATGATAAGCAATTTATGCAGTATCTTGAGGTTCCTTGACACATTGGAATTGAAAGAGGAGAAATGGAAGGAAATGACAAATCTTTTCTGGTTTTCTTCTATTTTTTTTATTTCTATCCTTGTTTATGATTTTTGTCTCATCATATATTTCTCAATGTGTGGTTTTCAAGAAGCAGGGTTTGATTAATGAAGTGTCAGATGCAGAGGATGTCATGAGAATTTTGGCATTTATTATTTGCAGCATTTAAATTAGCTATGGTATTTTTAGTATTCCTTCTTTTTAATTTACTATATCTGTTATCCTGTTGATAGTAAATACCCTCTTAGAGTAAATACCAGTTCATGGTAAATCTTGATCTTTAGACAGCTGTAGTTGATATTTATAGAAAAATTATACCAGTTATTCAGCTCTGCAATTTGGTGAAAATTTATTTATTTCACTGATGTGGGTGATTTTGTTCCATGTCTAAGGCCATCGGGATTATTTTACACAGGGAAATCAAAATCTGGCTAGAAATATGTTTTGACAATATCAGGAGGTCAAATAAAATTTCAGCTTTTAACCTTTTATTTAATACTTCCTTACTCTGGTCATCTGCAAACCTGTATCCTAGAGAATAGATTTTCATATTATGCTTTTGTATAGAAGACATGCCTCGGTTTAACTTAGTTGGGAACAAGTCTGATGAGAGCCACTAAAATAGGATGTTTCTCTGAAGGTTTTATGCTGGATTTGTGATTCTGTGTTGTATCATTAATGGATATTGTATATATTATTTCCTTGATGTGCTTGTGACACGTCTGTGAGCTTGTTCCCTCCTGTAGGACTGTAGAGAGGTTTTTAATTTCTGACACATCCCACTTTAGTGTCAATCTTGGCATTATACTTCTTATGCAAGCACCTCTACCTACTCTTCAGTGCTTCTTTTAATAGAACCTGTATAAAAGGAGGAGAAGAAAGAAGCTTATATTTCATTTGGAGTATTAGGTTTTCTTTCTTTTGCAGTGTACCCTTAAATATAATATATCTCCCAGATGATAATCATATGTTCAGTGATGTGTCTTGCTTATTGTTGAAGATTTTTTTTCTTTCCCCACCCATGTTAAAAAACACTTCCATGTTTTTTCTGTACTCCCCTCTTGCAGTCCTGTTTGTCAGAATGTGTTGTGCTGTTTGACAAGGGGTGTGCTATCCTCACACTACGTAAACACTGTAGCCTTCCTGTGCCTCTGGAAATGCCTCTGACTCGAGAACCTGACTGCTGCTGCTCCTGCATTCTGTAGAGGCATTTGGAAACCTTCCCAGTGACTTTTCAGCAAGCACTTAATGTGATTCATAATGCTCTGGGATAGAATCACAGATGTGAAAGCGACCTACTACATCATCCCTTCCATTTTCATATGAGATCAGGTTATATTCCCCCAACAGCACATGCATCAAGTGTTAGATTCACACTACGTTTGCTCTCCAACAACTTTCCAAGCCTGACACAGAAAGCATCACCCTGAGAGGCTTTTAAAATGTATAAAAAAGAAACAAGGAGTCAAGGTTGCCCCATCCCTCTGTGCTAAAAACTCTGTGGATTTTTATGTTCTGCTTTCAGTGATGTTTTCAGCAATGGTTTAACTGCATTGCCTGTGCTGAGTTGTCTTTGATATGTTTGAGGAGACAAAACTGCAGAGTATTTCTTTGGAACAAAATAGTATGACTTACAGAGGGGGAAAAAGAGAGGGAAAACACTTATTTCTGAATTCATCTAGCTGTTTCTCAGATACAGGGAATAGATTATAAATGTAGTTTTTAAAAATTTATTGTACTACCTTTCTTTGGTCAGACTAGATCACTTTGAATTCCGGGTCTATCATTTGTGGGAAGCTACTGCAATAAACTCAATCCTTCCATTTAATTATTTTCTTTTTTTTTTTTCTCTTATTCTTTTCCTTTCTGCATCCCTTCCCTCCCTCCTCAGGCAGCCAAGGGCAGTTCCCACTCACACAGAACGTCACAGTTGTTGAAGGGGGAACAGCAAATTTGACCTGCAGGGTCGATCAAAATGATAACACCTCCCTCCAGTGGTCAAATCCAGCTCAACAGACACTGTACTTCGATGACAAAAAAGGTAAGTTGTTTCTGAACTCAAGCTTCTGCACTGGTTTTTAGAAGAAATAAATGTTTAAAACCATTTCTCTTTAATATTCTGATGTGAATGTATTTCCAATATATTTTAGAAATAGATGTCTTCCATTAAAAAAAATTTGTTTGTTTGTTTATTTATTTACTGGGGTTCATTGAAATTCTGTCTTGCCCATTATATTATATTTAAATTATTAAATAAAAATAATAGGATTTGAAAGAAAGGCGCATTGTAAAATAATTTGGAAAACATTGCTGCAAAAACATCTTGGAAGAGCATTTATGAGTGGAAAGAGAAGCAGTGGCCCATAAAACCTGTGACTCGTTTTTATTAGTGAGTATGCCTAAACATAAATTCTGTATATTTTTACATTTAAATACGTAATCCCACAGTTTGCCACTAGTGTACAGCAGTCTGGTTGTTGCTGCAATGCACAGTTGCTGTGGTAGCTGTTCTTAACAGCTAATAAAAATGCTTGGATTTTGTGTCCTGATTTTTCCAATGTTTACATGCACAGATATTTTACATTTTAGTTAAATTAGAGAAGAAAAAAAGGACCAGAAAATATCCATTCCTTACAAAGACGTGGACATTATTTTACAGTGGTACATATTTATAGACATCAGTTTGAACTGAATAAGCATTGCATTTTACATAATAGAGCATTAACATAAAGATTGCAGTAGATTCTGTAAAGAAATTAAAATGAGGAGTAATAAATTCATTACTTGGCTTTAAAAAATGTAAAAGCTTTGGTGTTGATTTCAGTGGTACAGAAGTTCAACAGTTATACTTAATTCTGGTGCTTGAATTTCTTTTGAAAGGTGCTACATACTCTAGAACATATTTTAACAAGTGCAGTTATTACTCTGCTCAAAATTAAAGAACTGCTGTCCAAATGCTTTGCTGAATGATTACAAGAGTTTAAAACACCTTGTAGGCTTTGTGGATCTGTGCACTTCAATAAAAGAGAATCTAAAACCTATCATTTTATACCTGCAGAAGCTGCAATCAAAATATGTTTTTTTTCCTATTAATATAATAGCTGAATAGAATCTCTTGATGGTGTTGAAGTGGTTCCTTTCTCTTTTATCTAATTTCCTGTAGCGTGTAATCATTTGATTTGCAATTTCTTTGAAATCATAAGTACCTTTTGAATGTAGGATTGAAGATGAGAGGTTTATGAGGTGCAAACTTTCCAGCTGTCAGTCCTGTGCTGTCACCTTTGCCCTCATGCACCCCTTTATTTCAGCTGTAATCATTAGTGATTTGGGGTGGGTAAGTAATGTCTGCAAAACTAAAAGCAGAGAGACCTTGTCTGTTGATACATCAATACTCAGAAAATCTATATCTTTTATAGAATAAATGGCATTTTAAAGGATGCTGAGAAAGACGTGTGAGGACTGCAAATACATTAATTTCAGCATTGTAGCCATTTTGGTGTGAATTGAATTTTCTGTGTGCTTTAGCAAAATCTCTACTTTTACAATAAATAATTGAAGATTGTATTACCCTTTAATGTAATTAATTAAAGCAACAGAATCTGAATCGCATGCAGAGTAGTAAGTACTAGAAGCAATTTATATTCCCCACAGGAAATAAGTGTGTAAATTTAAGGGACCGCAGTCTTTATTGAACTTTTAGCTTGTCCCAAGACTTGAAGGAGTATTTGATGATTAATTTTATGGAGGAATTACTCTGCATCTATTACACATGAAAATGTCTTCATGTGGTGAAGGAAAACTTTGCATCCTTTAGCTGGAGATATTAACTCTTATGTTAGCAGCAGTTTGCACTCTGTGTGATATTTCCAGTCTCAAGTACACTGAGGGGAATGAGCAGTACATCCAATTCCTGCATGGAAAGTGTTCTGCCACTTCTGAAAGTGAAGTTACAGCTTTCACTGGCAATTTTTCCTGTTTGTATATGTATGGGTTCCTATAAGTAAAAAAGATATTTCCTTCGCATGCTTTTGATGCTTGCATTATTGAGCCAAAGTGGAGAGAGAGATATTTATTAGTGGTTTTGTCAGGAAATGATGGCAAGTGAAACTTTAAAGGCTTCCCCTTTTTTTCTCTCCTCATTTCCCACTTCTCCCAGCCAGGCATACAATTTGGCTATAAAAAAGCAGATTTCTGCTAGAACCAGTTGAAAATTAATGGAAGCTTGAGTAGCTATAGAGTTATGTCCTGTGTAGGAAACAGAAGTTGGACCAGCAGCAAGACCAGCAGCCTTTTATATCCATCAGAGCTGAGTAAATCTGGGTGTTGCCATGTTCAGAAATAAATAAATCAAATTTTCCTACTTTGAACTTTAATTCCCCTCAACAGGTTATTTTCTATTTATGCGAATGGTATGTGTAAGAGTGAGAATGCATTTCTTTCATTGAAACAAATTCAAGAAACCTTTATTTTTTTTGATAGCTATATGTTTTAATAATTATGAGAGAGTCAGATAGTGAAATGAAGGAAAACATGTAAGTGTCAAAAGAGGACTGAAAGTCCAGCAGAATATGAGGGAGGTGAGAGCTGTTGATATATATAATAATTAAGGTTAGAAAAGGCCTTTAAGATCATCAAGTCCAACCACTGACCTTAGGACCACCACCATATGGCAGGACATGTGCCAAAAATAGAGGAAATTGTCCATGCAGTGCAAAGCTCTCCCCTGCTGCATTCTCCTTGGTGTGTCCCCTTCTGTTCTCATGCTTCTTTCTCAAGCAAGTTGGTTCCCCTGTCTTGCAAAGCCATTTTCTGACCAAAATAGAACTTCTTATGAAAAAGGAAAAAAGAATCAGTCGCCTGGAAGAGATGTGCCCTTCAAATTCCAGTGCCTTTCCACAAGGGGTTAATTATTAGTCTCCAGTTTATTAAAAAATGATGACATATATGTAATGAAAATCACATTAATGTAATTTTGCATTCTTCTGAGCTGTGATGCAATCATTGACATTGAAGTTAGGAGTCAGCCTTCCTTTTCTGTTCTAGATATTCCAAAGTACAGAAGGGCAATGAGCCAGACACACTAATACCAAAACCACATTATTAAAATTACTCTTTGTCTTTCCCTCACATACTGCTTTGGCCACCTCTTTCTAAGGCCAGGTTTTTCTCAATTAGGAGGATTGTGTGGCTGGTAAAGAACACTTCCACCCCCCAACCTTCATATCAGTTTAATATTTATTTATTATTTATGAAGGAGACAAGAACTATTTTTAACTTGGGACATTTCTGGCACTTGGCCTATACAGCCTTAAAATGATATAGACAAAAAAATCAGGAGAGCCTTGTTTCAGAAAAGGTAACACTGAATTTAGAGAATGTGAAAACACAATTCAGAGCTTTTTTCTAGGTCTTCATCACTTGCAGTACATCTACTTTGTTTTTGTTGTAAATGTAGGCCTAAAATAGGTTTGATTCATTGTGGTGATGGGAATATGGAGGAGAAAGAAGTCTTATTCTCCTACAGGAAATTAAGTTATAGCTTTATTATTTTATTATCTAACCAAGGTGGAACTGTTGCTTCCCTTCAAAGCTTTCTTTGACAGTCTAAAATATATTAAGATCCAAAATAACTTTGTCTTCATTATTACTCTAACACAGAGTAGCTAAAATGTATGAAAATAGAAATATTTGATCTGGTGGACTTGGTCTCACTGATGACCTGTCTCCTTGCTGTCCTTTTTGGCACTTCTGTCTTTTTCTGGTTCTTCTACCTCAGAGATTCAAGAGCAATGTGTATAAATTATATTTTTAATTCTTTCTCTTTCATTTAAAACATTAAATCTTTACCAGACAGTAAAAAATACTGTACTGAATAAGTGGATACATGCTTCTAAATGTTAATAAGCTTAACAACCTTACCTTGGTCTCCCACCCCTTGCTCTCCCAAGAGAATTTTAAAGATTGTGTCTTCCCGAAAATAGGAATTCACAACTCACCCTAAGGAAACTCAGATTCTCTGGAAACAAATGCAAATTGTGTGCTGCACTTGAAATGAGTCTTTCCCTACACAATTTTCAATTAAAATGAATAATTGCCATAGAAACCTCTGTATCACTTTATGCACCCAAGTACCTATAATTGCATAGCTGCCTTTGGAAGAAGCACAATGTGCAACAGTGTAGAACTGGCAGATATTATTTTAAATTAATATAGGTTATTTTAGTTTATCTTCCCTGGTGCCACTTCTTAAGGATTTTGAGAGGGCAATAAATGCAGAGAGACATAAATATGAATGCAGAGCTATAAGAAAAAGGTCATAGCATGGAAACACAGAGATATTTGATAAAGAGAAGACTGAAAAGAACCTTTATGCAACTTAGTATAGCAGCCATCTTCTCATATTCCCATTCAGCAGGGAATATAGATAAATATGGAGCAGGATATTGAGTTATAAAGGAGGAGTGTACAACTGAACAATGGCTGTGGATATCAAAGGTGTTTAATCTCCTCAGTATAAATTTGTGTAATCGGGCTATCAAAAGGAAGAGAATCTGGACCTGGTGTGTACATACCTAACAGTTCTGCTCAGTCAGGCAAGTGCAAATGTAAAATACCAGCTCTCCACCTTAACAGGGAGGTTTGCAGGTCTGCTGATGGTAAAACAAGGGTGTGTTGACACTGACCATGATAAGTTTGCCGCAAACCGACGCAGATTTTGATGAGACATGTGCCTGATGCTAATCATAGGTTGGTACATGTCCCCTATGCTTTTATCAAGTAATAGCACTTTCATGTCTTACTGAAAAATTAGAAAGGATCTTCCAGCCTCAGAATTATTCATCCCTCAGCAGCAGAATATGTTTCTTTAGATGACCTTTGATTTTTCACGTGTAAGAGTGCTTGGCATTTACGTAGCTCCCTATCATCTCGAAGGCTTTCAGAGATAGCGGTGCACGAGGCACGGGCTGGGAGAGGGCACTGCTCTTGCAAAGCTCTCCAGAGCTTCCCTGATAGGCACAGTGTCTCGGGTGGGGACTTGTT